AGTGAGAGATGTAGATGTTTTATTTGGTACACTGCATGGTGAGAGATGTGGATGTTTTATTTGGTACACTGCATGGTGAGAGATGTGGATGTTTCATTTGGTACACTGCTTGGTGAGAGATGTGGATGTTTTATTTGGTACACTGCATGGTGAGAGATGTTGATGTTTCAATTGGTACACTGCATGGTGAGAGATGTATATTTGGTACACTGCTTGGTGAGAGATGTGGATGTTTCATTTGGTACACTGCTTGGTGAGAGATGTAGATGTTTCATTTGGTACACTGCATGGTGAGAGATGTGGATGTTTCATTTGGTACACTGCATGGTGAGAGATGTGGATGTTTTATTTGGTACACTGCATAGTGAGAGATGTAGATGTTTTATTTGGTACACTGCATGGTGAGAGATGTGGATGTTTTATTTGGTACACTGCATGGTGAGAGATGTGGATGTTTCATTTGGTACACTGCTTGGTGAGAGATGTGGATGTTTTATTTGGTACACTGCATGGTGAGAGATGTTGATGTTTCAATTGGTACACTGCATGGTGAGAGATGTAGATGTTTCATTTGGTACACTGCATGGTGAATGATGTGGATGTTTTATTGGTCTACACATACACTGTATTGTAGGACAGTAGTAGGCAATGAAATAAAATAGATGCTAACAGTATTAAACATTTAACTCATTTTTATAGAGAGTTAACTTTCAGAAGTCCTTTACCACCTGAGCTATTTGTGTTGAAAAACAAAATACTGTTCCATTTGGTGTGGGTTTGACAAGGGTACACTGATACCTAGATACTTTTGTCCACGAGCTTATTAATTATCTATGTGGGGGAAAAACCACATACTCCTTCTAGATTTTGTAAATCAACACAGCTGTGAAACAAAAATTAACAAAACTATATGATACTTTATATACCACACAACAACATTACAGATTTCACTTCTTACTTTCCAAACTTGTTTCAGTTTTGAAAGAAAACATTTATATTCTATCCCTAACATAGAGCAGATATGCAAGTTGTTTGAAGAGTAATGCATCATACCTACATAATAACAGGTGCCTTAAAGTTCTACATACAGGGTGATTGTTACAGAAACATTAACAGAAGTAACAGGTACCTTAAAGTTTAACATACAGGGGTCACTGTTACAGAAACACCAACAAAAATAACAGGTGCCTTAACGTTTTACATACAGGGTGATTGTTACAGGAACATCAACAAAAATAACAGGTGCCTAAAAGTTTTACATACAGGGTGATTTTTACAGAAACACAACAAAAATAACAGGTGCCTAAAAGTTTTACATACAGGGTGATTTTTACAGAAACATCAACAGAAGTAACAGGTGCCTTAAAGTTTTACATACAGGGTGGTTGTTACAGAAACACCAACAAAAATAACAGGTGCCTTAAAGTTCTACATACTGGGTGATTGTTACAGAAACATCAACAAAAGTAACAGGTGCCTGAAAGTTTTACATACAGGGTCACTGTTATAGGTGCCTAAAAGTTTTACATACAGGGTGATTTTTACAGAAACATCAACACAAATAACAGGTGCCTTAAAGTTCTTCATACAGGGTGATTATTACAGAAACACCAACAAAAATAACAGGTGCCTTAAAGTTCTTCATACAGGGTGATTATTACAGAAACACCAA